GCTTTAATGGATTTTTCTTTTGTTGTTTTTGTTTTTATTTATAATTTATAAATGTCTTATTAAATGTTTTTTGGTTTATTTATTAATCAAAAAAAGCTTGTTTTATTGATAATAATGCACAACGATTAATGACTACTGGTGGTTATGATTATTGTCCTAAAAAAAAATAAAAAGTGGATGGTAAGCCGGAGATATTCACACATTGGGTGAGGGCAGTGTTGGCGATTTTACTTTTATAAAATTACGTTGTTTTCGTAATCTACATCACAAAGTTTTTTTTTTTTTATTATTTTGAAACTGCTGAAACCCCCGTATATAACGTACTGAAGAGTTAATCCGCCATTTTCCAAACACCCGGTATATTCAAATCCCTTCACATTTTAGGAGGCATATGTATGTCGATTACTATATATTGAAAGATCATTGAAATATGACTCGTGTTACAATACAGTAAAATAAAAGTAAATAATGGAAATTATGCACGAAATATGCATTTATATACAGTAAAAACAAAAATATGCGGTAGAATATACCGCCACATACTAATGCAAAATATTTTTTCATATTTGGTCATAATTGGTCCAAAATTGAGGACCCGGTGGGTGAGGTGGCTTGGCATCTGCCCACTACACCTTGGGTCGTGGGTTCGATTCCCGCTCTTCCTCTGGGTGTTTTTGTATGTCCCCTTTCCTGTAATTGGGTCTCTCGGCCTGTTGGAGAGTAATTATTAAAAAAAAAAAAAAAAAATTGTTTCGACAAAATTTCCCTCGTACCGAAATTACAATGAAACAATTGCAAGGACACGTATGAACTCGGACTGGTGCAGTGTGGTACTTGCCAAGTATGGGCGGGGCTAGTATCTGCTAAGATAAGATTGAATAAAGGAGGGGCTAGTACTTGCTTAGATAACAACTGAACAATATTAAGAGTAATCACTGGAAAGAAGGCCGGGTGGGTGGGCGGGCCTATTGCTTGCTTATGAAAGGCTTTGCAGCAAAAAGTTAAACTTAGCCCCGCCTACCCACCCGTTCTCTCATTTTTTAATATTATAAATATATGTATTTTGACTAACAATTTACCATGCTTACAATAACTTTAAAACGTCCGCAGGATTTCAAAGTATTCAGTTTTGCAATTCTTGATTTAATCAATAAAATAAACTGACTCTGACATTAATTTTTTTGAGACACCCTGTATAAGCAAATCAAAAAAATATTAATGTAGTGATCAATCTCAAGGATAGACTCATCATATTTTGCACATTTAAGATAGGATTTGTTCAGCAAAATTTTAGGAGGGATGAGTAAATATATTAAAAAAACGTCTTCAAGATGTCAAAGCATTCCGTGACGGTAGACAGACAGACAGACGGAAAAGGAAGACCTATTTCTTCGTACTCTAGGGGTGTTGAAAGATCGAGAAAACGTAAAAGTAGAGACTTGACTACAACACATCTGTAAGACATCATTCTCGGAATTTGAGGAAAATTAAAAAGTAACGAAACTGTGCGATAAAGCAAATATTTCATATTTTTATCGTTATCATCTGTACACTCGACAGGGGGTTACCCCACCTAAAAATTTAGATTTCTGGGAAACCTTTGACGTTCTTTGCTGCTTTATCTAAATTAAATAATCGAAATCCGCTATTTTCGATTAGCGTTCCAAGTGTGCATAACATTGGTGAGTCCAAGTTTCACGTATTCAAAAGTCCATTATTTCCTATTTCCATTTTTTTTTTCGAACTAGCGAAAAAATGGATTTCGTCGCTGTACAACCCGACGACTGGATCGAAAAACTAAAATGTGCGAGCTGCGGAAACTACCTATCGTACTTTCCAATCCGCACCACCTTCAGCAACGAAAACATCTGCGGAAGATGCCGCACTCCCCCAGAAAACACCATTAGAAACGAGATCTACGAGTTGGTCTCCCAGCAGATGAGATTTCCGTGCCGTTATATGAGCGAAGGCTGTTTTGCCAAATTGTCTCCTGAAGACACTCCAAACCACGAAAATCAGTGCACTTTCAAAGACCTCAGGTGCCCCACCTATGATTTTACCAGCTGCAACGCCAAGGTATCTTATCGCGACTTGATGACGCACTGCCAACTCAAACATGGCGACTTGTTTCTTAACAACGGCCAATTCGAAATTCCCCTAACGTGGTCCCAGAACTCCTACCGTCTTCTACAACACAACAACCAACTTTTTATCGTCAGGAGGAACTTTCGAGTGGAGGATAGTCTTTTCCAGATTTCAGTAACACCTTCCGAACGTGGCGATCATACAATGTGGCCGTACAAAGTGCGTTTGACGTGTGGTAGCACTGAGCTGGCGGTTAAAGGTAACACCAAAGTGGGAGTTAAGGAGATTTTTTTGAATTCGTTGATCAGCCAGAAGGGGAAGGCGTCGAAGATTACCGGGAGGGTGTTTTTGATGAGGAAGGCCAGTGGTCCCGAGGCGGTAAAAGACGAGAGGAATGTATTTCAGGAAGGGGAATTTCCAAGCACCAGCTCGAGGGTAGGTGAAAAGCAGATGAGTTCGAGAAGTCCGGAGAGTGGAAACCTGGGGAAAATGACCATGGAGAAGAGCAAGTACCGCCCGCCGTTTTACGTTCGCAATCAAAAATAATAAAAGTCTGAATTGTCCAGTAGACAGCTGTTTAATTTTGACTTTGAATAAATGTAACAGGAAGTCATGATTTTTTGTTGCTAATCAGAATTTATCTCTTTATCCCGGACGCATATATTCTGAACTTGAACAAATATAAGGATACAGAGTTTACACAAGAAATATTTTACACAATTTATCGTTATCATCTCCGATAGGGGATTCCCTATCTACAAATTTTGATATGTTCCCCGAAATTAAACATTGACATCCTGTACCAAAACCAATAGTCGTATATCTATCATTTTTCCTTAGTGTTCCAAGCGTGCAAGACATGGGCCAACTTACTGTAAGAAATATAATCTCAAGAGTTCGCTATTTCACACATCCATTTTTTCTCTAGTCTTCCCACATGGAATTCGTCCCCGCGCAGGCCCGCGACTGGGTCGAAAAACTAAAATGTACCAACTGCGGAAACTTCTTATCCTACTTTCCAATTCACACCACCCTCAAGAGTCAAAACATCTGCGGAAGATGCCCCACCCCCTCAGAAACCGCCATCAGAAACCAACTCTACGAGCTACTCTCCCTACAGATACAATTTCCATGCCGTTATGCTCTCCAAGGTTGTTCTGCAAATAAATTTCCTGCAGAAATTCCACGGCACGAACTTCAATGTACCTTCAAAGAGCTCAAGTGCCCCACCCAAGATTTTACCGATTGTAACACCAAAGTATGTTATCGCAACCTGATAACACACTGCCAACTCAAACATGGCGACTTATTTCTGGAGAAGGGTCTATTTGAAATTCCCCTAGGGTGGTACCACGAGTACTACGGTCTTCTAGAACACAGAAATCAACTTTTTATCGTCAGGAGGAAATTTCGAGTGGAGGATAATCGTTTCCAGATTTCTGTAACACCTTCGGAAGATGGTGAAGATACAGTGTGGCTGTACAGAGTTCGTTTGACGTGTGGTAGCGCTGAGCTGGGGGTTAAAGGTAACACCAAAATGGGTGTTACCGAGATTTTTCTGGATTCGTTGGTTACCCAGAAGGGTAAGGCGTCGAAGATTAGCGGGAAACTCTTTGTGATGAAGTGTAGTAATCCGAAAATGGTGAAGGACGATATTAAGACGCTACCACTTCGAAAGAATGTATTTCCAAGTACGAAGTCGGGGTCAACTAAAGGGCAGATGGGTTTTAGAGGTATAAAGCGTGAGAGCGTGGGAAAAATGGTGCAGAAGAGGAAGGACCGGTTGCCGCTTTACGCAATCGAAAATAATCAGAGTTAGAATTCTCTGTTTAAACTTTATTTTAATAAAAATAAAACGAGAGACCTGTGTTTTCGTTTTCTAGGGGTCGAGAAAACATAATAGTAGTCGAGTTTTCAGTGAAGTAACTGTTTTTGTAACGTATTCTAAATGATAATAAAAATCACTAAATCACTGATAAACACATTTATTGCAGTACACGATAACGCTTATCTGATAGTACTGCGGTACCTAGCTCACATCATTCCCTAAATGAGTTATAATTGTTTTCGAAAAAACTGTGACAACTGAGTGCATGAACAATGGACTTGGATTTATTCACCGAAAGTTCAAAAAAGTCCCTGAGATGTGCCACTTGCTCCAACTACCTGTCGTATTTCCCAATACGTCTTTTGGAAAACTCCGATAACATTTGTGGCCGATGCTTGCCGCCTCCAAACCAACCCCATTTTCGCAACTCAGTCTACGAAAAAGCCTGCCTGAGGCTAAAATTTCCCTGCATTTACGAAGAAGACTGTTGTAGAACGAAGCTGTTCCCTCTGGATATACCCCGGCACGAAGAAACCTGTCCTTGCAAAACGCCATGTCCACTCACGTCGGTCCATTGCAGCTGGAAAGGCCACTTTTCGCAACTCCTCCAACACTGCCGTTCTAACCACCCTCACATGTTTTTAGACCATTCAGAATTCGACTTAGACCTGGCCAAATCGCACGAAAACGAAAGTCTTCTCGAGCAGAACTCCAAAGTCGTGCTAGTGATACGAAGAAAATATGATTCTAGTCAGAAATTGCTGACTTTTTCGGCGAGCCACAGCGGCGACAGAAGTTTGAAGTACTTCTACGAAATGACGTTTACGAGTGGAGAGAGGAACTTCCAAATTGAATGTGACGGTAGACAGACGGAAAAGGGAAACCTATTTCTTCGTACTCTAGGGGTCATGAAAGATCGAGAAAACGTAAAAGTAGAGACTCGACTACAACGCATCTCTAAGATATAATTCTCGGAATGTGAGGAAAATTAAAAAGTAACGAAATAGTGCCATAAAGCAAATATTTCATATTTTAATCGTTATCGTCTGTACACTCGACAGGGGGTTACCCCACCTAAAAATTTATATTTCTGGGAAACCTTTGACGTACTTTGTTGCTTTATCTAAATTGAATAATCAAAATCCACTATTTTCGATTAGCGTTCCAAGTGTGCACAACATTGGTGAGTGCAAGTTTCACGTATTCAAAAGTCCATTATTTCCTATTTCCATTTTTTTCTCGAACTAGCGAAAAAATGGATTTCGTCGCTGTACAAACCGACGACTGGATCGAACAACTAAAATGTGCGAGCTGCGGAAACTACCTGTCGTACTTTCCAATCCGCACTACCTTCAGCAACGACAACATCTGCGGAAGATGCCGTTCTCCCCCAGAAAACACCATTAGAAACGAAATCTACGAACTGGTCTCCCAGCAGATGAGATTTCCGTGCCGTTACATGAGCGAAGGCTGCTTTGCTAAATTTTCTCCTGAAGACACTCCAAACCACGAAAATCAGTGCACTTTCAAAGACCTCAAATGCCCCACCCATGATTTCACCCGCTGCAACGCCAAGGTATCTTATCGCGACTTGATGACGCACTGCCAACTCAAACATGGCGACTTGTTTCTGAACAACGGCCAATTTGAAATTCACCTGACGTGGTCCCAGAACTCCTGCCATCTTCTAGAACACAACAACCAACTTTTTATTGTCAGGAGGAAGTTTCGATTGGCAGATAGTCTTTTCCAGATTTCTGTAACACCTCCCGAACGTGGCGATCATACAGTGTGGCCATACAAAGTGCGTTTGACGTGTGGTAGCACTGAGCTGGCGGTTAAAGGTAACACCAAAGTGGGTGTTAAGGAGATTTTTTTGAATTCGTTGATAAGCCAGAAGGGTGAGGCGTCGAAGATTACCGGGAGGGTGTTTTTGATGAGGAAGGCCAGTGGTCCCGAGGCGGTAGAATAGAATAGAATAGAATAGAATAGAATATTTTATTGATGCTTGTAACATGTAGTTTTTGCATAAGTCAGACTATGAACATGTAAAAAATACAAATAATAAAACTAAATATAACAACTAAAATCATACTTGTTGCACAGGTATTCCTCAAAGTTATAAAATGCCTTCTCTATTAAAAATTTCTTTAATATATTTTTAAAAGTTTTAAACGGCAAACACTGCCCACCCACCCTATCTCAATTGTGATGACTATTTTCATTCGTCGTGAGTCCTGAGGCGGAGCTTAATTGCAAAATCCTTATTGTTTACAAAAAATTAACATGTGAAATATGTTCTTAAGTAATCGTTTTGTTTAAAAAAAAACTATGTGTATTGAGTAAAAAAAGCCAAAGGAATTAAGAAAAAGGACACAATATAAGCCCCGCCCACCCACCCTATCTTAAGTGTGATGACCTTTTCATTTGTTTCTTGTTGTGTAAAAAAGGACGATTGCGTATATTGAGGAAAAAAAGGCAAAACATGAATTAGTGTTTTTTCTATGAAATCTCAGGAAAATTAGACAAAAAACTATAAAAAAGTGATTCTGGGAAAAATAGTAAAAAAAATACAACTGAACAACACATTCATTAACACAATAACGTGTAATAAAAGTAGAGCTGGAGTACGAAAAACAAGAGAGAAGAAACGAAAAAAAAAAATAGAAACAAGAATATGGGATGAAAAGGGAATTCAAAGATACTGAAGCAGACTAGAAAGAAAGAAATTCGAAGTAAAAGAAGACATAGAAGCCATAAGAATGGAGTGAGTTGAAGAGAAAAGCAAGGGAAAAATTAAGAAAATGGAAGAATAACAGGGGAACGAAAGAAGAGTACTTAAAAGCAAGAGAGAATTATAGGAGAAAATGTGAAGAAAGAAAAAGAGAAAAACGAGAAGAAGAAGAGAAACAATGAAGTCCTTGAAAACAGAAGAAGTATGGAGATACATAAACAAGGAACGGAGAAGGAAGACTGAAGTCAGTAGGAAAATCAATAATACATAAATGGAAAAGGCACTTTATGGAATTATTGGGAGGTTGTGAGGAAAAATTCTGCAAAATAAACAAAGGAATCACAACGACGGAAGAAATGTGGAGAGGTTCGGAAATAGCAGAAGATGAAACAGGAAGACAGTTTGAAAGACTGAAAAGAGGAAAGACACATGAGGGGATGGAATCCAGAACGAAGCGTGGATGTATTTGAGGAGTAGATGCTTACCTGGTAATAAAAATGGAAGAAGTATATGAAGAAACAGTAAATTAGGTGAGAGTGAATGGAATAGAGAGCGAGAGTTTTCATAGAAATAGAGGAGTGAGACAGGGATGCCCACTCAGCTCCGTATTGTTTCCACCTTATCTAGGAGATATAGATGAAATGTTCAAAAAAGCACAGACAGGAAGGGTGGTAGTGGACAAAGAGAAAGTGTGGTTGTTGGCGTACGCAGATGATTTGGTGATTATAACAAAGAAAAGAGAAGAAATGAAAACAATGATTAAAAGTTTCGAGAAGTACATACAAAAAAAGGAATTGAAAGTGAATGTGGTAAAAACAAAAATGGTGGTGTTTGGGAAGAAAGTAAAAAAGGAGAAGGAAGAGTGGGCATGAAGAGGGAAGAAGATTGAACAGGTGAAAGAATTCCAGTACTTAGGATATACATCAAAGAGCCATAAGTCAATTCAAGAAATGGTCCGAAAAGCGAACAAAGTGATAGGAACAGTATGGGGAATAGGAGAGAGAAAATTTGGACACGATTATATGAGAAGAATGATGATGTTTGATAGTCTGATCAAAAGTGTATTTATGTACGGAGCTAATGGAGGAAATATGAAGAAATAGAGAGAGTGCAAGAAAAATACTTAAAGTGGACATCGAGATTGGAAAAGTATATGCCGGGGTATATAGTGAGAGAAGAAACAAAAAGGGAGAAAATGAGAGTGGAAACGGGTAAAAGGACGGTTGGATTTGAAACTAAGTTTACTGAGAGAGGTGGTTGTAAAATATTGCAAGAATGTTGGAAAGAAATAAGAAAGGAAGGGGGAAAACATGTTTGGAACGAAAGAGACAACTATTATGAAGAAAAGGGGTATGCATGTGAAGAAATAGAGAGAATTAGAGAAATGGGAAGGAGTATGAAAGAACAACTGAGTCTAAGAGAGAGGGAAATAGATGAGCAAGAACGCAGATCGAGAATATCGGAGCCTAGATATAATGCAGAGTATAGAAAAATAGTAAAGGATGAAGTACCAAAATACACAGAGATAGAGAGTATAAAGGAGAAAAGAATGATGGCGAGATTTAGGTGTGGAAATGAAGAGAAAGAGAATAATTTTTGGATGGATGAAACTGACAGAAAGTGTAAGATATGTTGGAGAGAGGGAGAAACAATAGAGCATATGCTGGAAGGATGTGAAGGATTGAGAGAATCGGAGGAAAGCAGAGAAGAAGTGCTGAACGAGGATGGAAGAGGACTGGACTGGATGAAAGAAGTACGGAAAATAAGGGAAATAAGGCAAGCAGAAAGAATAGAACAATTATTATTATATAAAACTCGAATATTTAATTTTTTATTGATTTTTATTGATTTATTTGTATTATGTAGATTAAGTTCATTTGTACCCCTACTGGGAATCTTATTAAGCCTGTAAGGCAAATAATAATACATAGTTAATGTTTCTCTAGCTTGATATAAAGCGAAGGTACAAATCAGCAAAAATTGTGTATGGACTTAAATGTTAAATGTTCGACCTATAAAAACTTGTCAAAGTTTTCAAAATCCTACGTTTACAATGTTCGCAGTTAATTTTAGGCCCTTGGTGTTTAAATTTAAAGCGATCTGGTGTTTCGTTGCTGGATGGACTTGAAAAAATCTTATGAGCCTTTAGTGTTTTACTTTTTACGCATCTGAAAAAGTTTTGAATGCCGCAGTGTTCGGACACCAATGGTGTATTATTTTGAGAGCCCCTTGACATTTTTTTGCAAATGATTTAAAACAATTTTGGGGAACTTCCTATGTAGAAAGCATTTGAAAGTGCTTTGGAGCCTTTAGTGTCTTTTCTTATAAACATTTAATTAAATTTCTTACAGGATAGGCTATTTGCTAAAATCTTAACAGCTACTAGACCCAGACACCCACCCACCCTCTCATTTCTTCAATGTATGTCATCTGCCAAAATCAGTTTTATCTTAGCAGGTACTAACCCCGCCCACCCACCCTCTCTTTTCTTAGAGCGTATGTCATTTGCCAAAATCAGAATTTTTACAAAAAATGATCAAAATTTAGAAACATTACGAACCTCAGCACAAAGCAAGAATTTTGAACATCCCTTGTGGATAGTTGGTTATGCTTTAATGGATTTTTCTTTTGTTGTTTTTGTTTTTGTTTATAATTTATAAATGTCTTATTAAATGTTTTTTGGTTTATTTATTACTCAAAAAAAGCTTGTTTTATTGATAACAATGCACAACGATTAATGACTACTAGTGGTTATGATTATTTTCCTAAAAAAAAATAAAAAGTGGATGGTAAGCCGGAGGTATTCACACATTAGGTGAGTGCAGTGTTGCCAATTTTACTTTTATAAAATTACGTTGTTTTCGTAATCTACATCATAAAGAATTTTTTTTTATTCTTTTGGGACTGCTGAAACCCCGTATATGACGTACTGAAGAGTTAATCCGCCATTTTCCAGACACCCGGTATATTGATGGATCATTGAAATATCACTCGTGTTACAACACAGTAAAATAAAAGTAATTAATGGAAATTATGCACGAAATATGCTTTTATATACAGTAAAAACAAAAATATGCGGCAGAATATACCGCCACATACTATTATATGCAAAATATTCAAAATAAAAATTATTCATTGAAACCAGAAACATTAGAAAAAATTGGTCCAAAATTGTTTCGACAGAATTTCCCTCGTACCTAAATTACTATGAAACAATTACAAGGACACGGATTGGTGCAGTGTAGTGCTTGCTAAGGATGGGCGGGGCTAGTATTTGCTAAGATAAGATTGAATAAAGGAGGGGCTAGTACTTGCTTAGATAACAACTGAACAATATTAAGAGTAATCGCTGGAAAGAAGGGCGGGTGGGCGGGCGGGCCTATTGCTTGCTTATGGAAGGCTTTGTAGCAAAAAGTTAAACTTAGCCCCGCCCACCCACCCTTCTCTCATTTTTTAATAAATATTTGTATTTTGACTAACAATTTACCATACTTACAATAAACAACGTCTGCAGGATTTCAAAGTATTCAGTTTTGCAGTTCTTGATTTAATCAATAAAATAAACTGACTCAGACATTAATTTTTTTGAGACACCCTGTATACACAAATCTAAAAAAAATTAACGCAGTGATAAATCACAAGTATAGACTTGTTCAGCAAAATTTTAGGGAGGATGAGTAAGTATATTAAAAAAACATCTTCAAGATTTCAAAGCATTCCGTGACGGCGGACAGACAGACGGACAGGCAGACAGACGGAAAAGGAAGACCTATTTCTTCGTACTCTAGGGGTCATGAAAGATCGAGAAAATGTAAAAGTAGAGACTCGACTACAACACATCTGTAAGATATCATTCTCGGAATTTGAGGAAAATTAAAAAGTGACCAATTTGCGATAAAGCAAATCTTTCATATTTTTATCGTTATCATCTGCACACTCGACAGGGGAATACCCCACCTAAAAGTTTAGATTTCTGAGAAACCTTTGACGTACTTTATTGCTTTATATAAATTGAATAATCGAAATCCACTATTTTCGATTAGCGTTCCAAGTGTGCATAACATTGGTGAGTCCAAGTTTCACGTAGTCAAAGTCCATTATTTCCTTTTCCATTTTTCGCTAGTTCGAAAAAATGGATTTCGTCGCTGTAGAAACCGACGACTGGATAGAAAAACTAAAATGTAGGAGCTGTGGCAACTACCTGTCGTACTTTCCAATCCGCACCACCTTCAACAACGCAAACATCTGCGGAAGATACCACCCTGTCCCAATAAACGCCATTAGAAACGAGATCTACGAGCTGGTCTCCCAACAGATGAGATTTCCGTGCCGTTACATGAGCGAAGGCTGTTTTGCCAAA